CTTCCTTCCTTCCTTCCTTCCTTCCTTCCTTCCTTCCTTCCTTCCTTCCTTCCTTCCTTCCTTCCTTCCTTCCAAGAGCTCTGATCTTCAAACTTTTCCAAATGCCTTTCTGAAAAGCCATGTTTTCATTGTTATTCAATAAAGTAAAGGCAAGGGGTGGTCTAATTGTCTGGGGTAGGCTGTTTCCAGAAGGGATGACAGTGGTCCTCCATGGAAAAGGACCTTTAGCAGACCCCCTCTGCTAGATCTCACTGTCAGATTTAACTTGGAGAAAACTGTCTCCCAGATACCGATGCCCTGAGTCATTTAAAAGTGATAACCACTACAAGTATCCTTGCTTACTGACTGCCTCATTCAGTGATCATTCAGAGTTATGACGGTACTAGAAAATATAACTTGATGACTAATACTGGCATTTCCAACCTTCACAGCATCCCTCAGTCACATGATCACCATTACAATTGGTACATGTTGTCCTGTGCCTGACCTGTTTTTTCCCCCCTCTCTTGCAGAGTGAAGAGATTGGAGAGAAAGGGATTACAAGAGGGTAAGCATACACACAATGAAGAATACACAGGTATTCTTGTGGTGGTGCTGGCAGCTGTGAGTGTGCTACACAAACAGCCTGATATATTCCCCATTGTGTGCCTGCTTACTTTCTTGTAATCCCTTCCTCTCCAATAATGTAACTACAAATATTAATTCTCTTGTTAATTATTACAGTGGCAGGGTGAGCATTCCAAAGGGTGGAGGAGTGGGGGAAAGGAAAGCACACTTGCAGTCACATGATTTCCCACTTAGTGATCACTTTGCTTAACGACAGAGCTGCCAGTCCCAATTATGGTTGCTAAACTAGGACTACCTGTACTTGCATTATACCCAGAAGCTACTTGGTAGCCAATGAAGCTCCAGTAGTAGTAGCAATACATTGGTAAATCTAGATATGCCCATATCTACTCAGGCTGCTGTAGGTTGAACCAGCTGAAGCTTCCGATGGTCTTCATTGGCAACCTCATACAGAAAGAATTGCAATAGTTTAGCCACAAGATGATAAGCATGTGAGCTATTAAGAGCAAAACCTCTTGTTCTGGAAATGGCTGCAACTGATGCATAAAATGTAATTGTGTGAAGGCAGTCTTCGCCATGGTCTTGACCTTTTTCCTCTTCACCTCCTCTTTCCCCCAACCCCTGATCTAACTACTGCACACATGTTTAGCTTTTCAATCTCTATTTTCCTTTGCTTCCTTCTTCCATAGAATCTCTGGCTCTCCCAACTAAGATATGTCCACCAATGCTTACTCTTTTCCCTAAAAACTGTGGTGTACATGCTGTCCTACTTCCTGCTGTCAGATACTGATCATTCATGTTCCCTCAATACTGCTTAAATGAAATTCTGAGGAACAATGAATGCTATTTACCCAGTGTTTACTACTTTCTCTTTCATTGCCATTTCCTACTGACGTGCTTTCTTTGTGTTGTAGCTCAGTAAAATCCAATCTTTCCTTTTTGTGTGCTTGTCATTTTGTTCTGGGATTCTTAGTATTTTTTCTTTAGTTAAAACACTTGGCTCACTGTCAGCCCTTCAAGGTAGATCACATGAGGAATCCAATTTCATGTAGGCCAGTACTACTTTCATTGTAAAGCTAAAGTAACAGAACCTTACAAGTCTCAGTGTTCTTCCCCTCCGCCCTGCCTTTATCATTGTGAGAAGTAGAGAAGGGAAAGTCTGAGATGTTTACTTAGATTACATTCCTGCCCTGGACTCAGTCCCCTTTTATCTGATCATTGTCTTGGCAGTGGCTCTTCCTCTTGTCCCTCAAGGCCATTCCCTCTTCCCTCTACACTTGCCTATAAATCTATGCAAGGTAACATGAGTACCTATCCAAAAATAAACCTAGAAATCAGGTGTGCTACAATTTTTAAGGCTGTTTTATCTTTTGCAAAATGCAGCTGCAAGGAATATAATCTGCAAATTGATATTAAGATAACTAGAATATTTGTTTATTAAATTGATTTATAAGGCTGTCCATCTCACAAATATGACTCTGGGTGGCTAATAACACCTCACAAATTTTTTTAAAAAATCAGCAAAATGGTCACTGAGATGGATCTAATAAACATTTAGCAATTACAATAAGATCTCATGGGCCACCTAACCTCCTAACCTCCCAACCCCCATGCCCTGGAGCACATCCAGGTCTTCTGCACTTTGAAAAGGTCCAGCACGGTTGGGGGCAATCTAACCTTGGTGGGTACGGTGGTCCAAGTGCAGAAATGGCCCACTTCCTAAGTCCCATTAGATAGCATTCTTAAATTGAGGGGACCCAGAGCAAAAAAGAAAGCATGAATGTTCTGTTAAATCTATGTTACCAGTAAGACATACCTTGCTACTAGGGGGGAAAAAATTCTTAAGAATAAAATTTGGAGCATCTAATTCAGATTGGGACCTCTAGCATGAAAACACTGGGGACTCCACATCCCTCCCCCCCTGTAGTGACCTGAAAGTAGATCAGGGAATCCACTCATAGGACTGTGATGGACAAAATCCTTATTGGCCCTGTCCTAGCAGGGGCCAATAGATAAAGACCCCCTGACCCCCTCCCACTGCATAGCAGGGTAGTTTAGATTTGAGATTGTTTGCTTTTGTTTCAAAGAGATCTGTGGGGCTTTGTACAGGTTAGATGTTTGATTTTGTTTGATGAACAGGGAATAGAATCACAGAGCCAGATTAAATCATAAAGTGGAGTCCTTGGTGCTCTCCAAGCTTCATTGTTTGCTTGCAGATGTTTCATTACCCAACTAGGTAACATCATCAGTGCTAGTGAGTGTGGAGTTGCTTTCTGTTTATATACAGTAGCTTGGCTTGCCAGTGTTGGTGGGAGTGTGGTTTTCTCCTTGAGTTGCACTGCAGCAACCCAGAACACCAGAAAAAGGAAACAAACTGCCTATACAACATCTTCCAACAAAATGAATACCTACACAAATTTATCAAAAAGTGCCTGACCACTCAAGCCACTACAGCACAACAAACATAAGCTACATAAAGGATAACACTGACGTACATCAAAAACATATCAGAAACAACCAACAGATTATTACAACCACATGGCACACTGTAGCACCTCCAAAACATCTTAAGTAAATCAAAAGACCCAGTAGCCCAAGAAGAAAAAACAGGAGTCATCTATAGCATATAGCATAAGAACTGTAGCAGTCACTATTTAGGGCAGACAGGCAGAATACTAGCAGAGTGCATCCATGAACATCAACTAGTAGTCAGAAGACATGATGAAAACTATTTAATCCCCCAACACATGGACAGAGTCAACCATAGTTTCAACTGGGAAACTGTGAGTATCCTACACCAAGCTAAATCCAAAAATGCTAGGGAATTCCTGGAAACTTGGCATTCAGACAAATCAGTCATCAATAGATACATTGAGATAAACCACATTTACACACTATTCAAAAGAGGCAATAAAAAAAAGCTAAGAAGGAAACAAAAAGACCAGGACACATCCTCTCCAGCAACCAACACTCAGATAAGCAGGGATTAATACTAGACAAACAATCAAGCAGAATGATAGCTAATTTGGTCTAATTAAGGTTTCAGGCTAAATATCATGAGACTGTAAGTTCTAGTCCTGCTTTAGGCATGAAAGTTGGCTAGGTGACTTTGGGCCAGTCACCCTCTCAGCCCACAACATCAGACTCAGGTAACAAGCTGGTCAGCCAATTCCTGTTGCAACCAATGAATCAACATTCAGTTGATCCAAAAAAAAAAAAAAAGTGGATCTTGCACCTGCAGGAAAAACACTAGGAAGAAAAAAGAAAATCAAGCAGAAAGCAATACCTTAATCAAATAACCACCATGGAGAAAACCACACCCCCACCAACACTGGCAGGACAAGATATTGTATATAAACAGAGAGCAAACCCCACGTCACTCACACTGATGATGTTATCTAGTCAGGTAATGAAATGTCTGCAAGCAAACAGCCAAGCACAGAGAGCACCAAAGACTTCATAGTTCAACCCTCAGTTACATATACAGTGGTACCTCTACTTACGAACTTAATCCGTTCCGTGACTCTGATCGCAAGTCGAGTTGGTTGCAAGTCGAATTAAATTTTCCCATAAGGTTCAATGTAATTGCCGTTAATCCGTTCCGGCGTCCGTGGACCACGCATCAGGGGTGGAACGGGCGGAAAATGGCTCGTAAGTCGAGGCGAATTTGTAAGTAGAGGTAAATTTTTGGGGCCGGAGCTGATCATATCTCAAAAATTTCGTAAGTAGGGGCGTTTGTAAGTAGAGGTACCACTGTATTCTCTTCTATTTAAAACATAAAGGTCATTCACCTTGAACCCAAAACCTGTCTATTGATTCAATCCCAGTTTCATTAAAAGTTAAAGCCTTTACCCTTTTTTGCCAGGGGGAAAAGCTTGAAAAAGATGGAAGATCATTACTGAAGTCACCAGGAGCTCTGAATTTCTTTTACTGTCCTGTAAATTCTTTGTTTCTCTCCCTGGCTATTTTTTCCAGTGCTCCTAGAGGACATCTGTCTCTAATATTCATCTATTTCAGTTCCTCTGGGCTGAGCATTACTGTCTTCTTTATCCTGCAAATGCTGCCGGAAGATTTTTATACAAACAAAAGAACATACTGTGCAATTCTATGCATGCCTACTTGGAACTATGTCTCATTATGGTTAATGGGGCTTAGTTCCTACTGTGTTTAGAATCCCAGTCTTTAATCCTAAACCTATCACTGAAATCTGTGTGGAATAAATGCCAAAAAACCAAACCTTGACTATATTTTTAAATCATCCCAAAACATTACTGCCAATCCAAGCATTGTTCTCAATGCACAATAGGCCTTGGAAAAATTATTTGTTCAGAATAATAAGCACTTACATAGCATGGATCAATGAAAATTATACACTATAAAAGCATATAAAACTTAGAATCCTATTCCCCCCCCCCCATTTTTACTGATACTACAGAATTGCTTTTATATTGGATTAGCTTCAGAGCAAACTGAACATTGTATAATATTTTATTATTTTGATGAAGTAATAGTTGCAGTCTCATCCATGTATAAATAAATAAATAAATAAATAAATAAATGAATAAATAAATAAATAAATAAATAAATGAAAAGTACTCTATTTAGATTGTAATCCTTTACAGGTTTCTCTGGGAGAAAGGCTATTGAAATGAATGGAGCTTATTCATGAGATTGAACCCAATTACCAAAAACTGGCATCAAACAATGATATATAATCATATTATATCTAACCAGAACTGGAAAAGATACAGAATATAATAAAATATTCTCAGGTTGACAATAATATCAGCCTGAAGTTTTTGAACCTATTGTTGCTGTTCCCTTGATTATTGGAACTATTGCTATTGGTTTAACATGATTATGTTGCTATCTAGATATTTTGAGTTCTTTCTAAAATGTTGAGATAGACAAGAATTAAATTGGAAATAGAATGGTTCAATTAACCAGAAAATCTGGGTGATGCATTAGTGACTTCCATTAAATGCCAAATATTACTCTATTTGAACTTTTTTCCCTCAATGCAAAATATGTTTGTGTGTACATATGTATGTGTGTATACACACACACACACACACACATACAGAAATATATTTCTTTATTTCTTAATTAAAAAAAATACTTTTGATTTAAACTAAATTCCAAGTTACTTGGAGTTTACTGCCCAGTGAGTATGTTTAGAATACCACCTTTAATCAGACTTCATTAAAGAAAATAGGAAATATACAACTTTAGTCTAAGTGTTTTTGAGTGATGCTATTAATGATGCTGACTATTTGGATACAGAAAGAACATAATCAAATTCAAGTGTTACTGAAGTCTGAGTTGTATGAGCAGAGTTCTCTCTCTTCCTTCTTCAGTAAAAATTAGGACTTCTACCTGATAACCAAAGGTGTTGTTCTGTGATCCATGACGAGGAACACCAGGGTTTTCACAGGCTGTGCGGGTGGGTTCTATGTCAAAGAAAAGTTTGTGAAAGAAAATAGTTTTTAAAACTTATATCCATTTATAGCCAAATTCTTTCAAACAGTTTTCAGAAGTGCCAACATTTCAATATGAGGTGACCAATGCTGAATTTCATAAGGAATTTATGCATCTTTAGGTTTAAACTTTGTTTATGCAAAACAAAGATGTGAACAGGAGTACCTTATGTTTTGATTCTTATGGATGAACTGATCTATTGATCTGGGCCATCACTACTGAAAACTGTCCCAACAAAACAATCCTATACTACATCTACAGAGACAATATAGACATAACTCTGTATTTCTAGTGGTATTCCCCACCCCCCACCCCGCTCCCCCTGCTTTAAAGTCCACTAAGGGCAATTTATATAAAAATCCTTTCATATTCCAGGGAGGCACTATCACCAACAGGATGGATATACATGCAGTCATGCTTAGAATGGATTCACTGAATCAGGCTTAAGTTAGTCACAAGTTATTAGTTATAATCTGATTTCAGTGGGGCTGTTTTAAGCATTACTAAATTTGTATTCCACTCTAAATGCTACAATGCATAAGAACTTGTTCCCTGGTAAGATTGCAGTTTTGTACTAAAGATGCAATTATATGTGTAGTGGGAACTTTCTGCTATTCTGGGTATCGAATACTTTTTACTACTCAAACTATATGCCTCCTTTCCCTGAAAAACCACACTAAGAATCCTTTTAACAATGTAGAATGGCTGCAAAAATGGCGGGGGAGGGCAGAATGGAATTTTCCTTGTACAAGGGGCTCGATGAAAACAACACTTTGGTTGCAATCTTATGTCCATTTAACAAAGACTAAGCCCCTGATAATACAGTGGCATATGGATGTTTAAGATTGCATTGTAAACAATTAACAAAGAGGTAAAGCAGTGTTTCTCAACTTTGGCCATTTTAAGATGTGTGGACTTCACCTCCCAGAATTCCCCAGCCAACATGCTGGCTGGAGTATTTTGGCAGTTGAAGTCCACACATCTTAAAATGGCTAGAGTTGAGAAACACTGTTGTGAAGAAAAGAATGGAGCATGCTACAAACTAGGAAAGATCACGTCATACCTATGCAACGGGGAGATGATCCGCTCCATGTACCATCTGCTTGACATATGCGAGTGCTGGAACCAACCAACACAAATGGAAGATTACAACTGAAAGAGACTTCTGACTGATAAATAAAGCTTTTGCCTTCCCTTTTGCCTTGAGCAGGAACTCCCGGGTCACCACAAAACTTTGCTGTAGAAAAAAGAAACATGGAAAATATATTGACATTTCTTTTCAGAAGTGTAGACATGTGTGTTTGGAGAAGAGAAAGCATGAAGCCTTTTTTAATAAAAAAAAACAATCTGCTCTAAAATAAGAAGTGGAACTACAGTATGTACACATATAGAAACAGAAGGTATAAATGTAAATCATATTCTTATCCCAAGAGAGGATGGGCTTACGTGTCTTTTACTAACTAAATGTCAAAAGCTACTAGTTAATATGCAGAAGGTACAAAGTTCTTTTATTTTACTGTTTCACTGTGTTAACAAGGGTGGAGACTTAAGAAAACATTTAAATCATTTCTTAAACAAATATCACACAGAATTGATTGATTGATTGATTGCTATTTGATTATTGCTTTAACAAAGAGAATATTTGGAGGAATTACATCATGCATTGGTATTCTCCGGCCTTTTCCTAGCCACTTTCTATTACTGGATGCTTAGTACTTCTGTCTGAGTAGGTAACCATAGAAACTAGACATCACGGCAATGCACTTCAGTCTCTCCCCCCCCTCAGAAATGGGAAATTATGCAGAGAAAATGCTACTTTTTGTAGCAGTCATGGTGTTCTTCGTTGTCAACAATACTTACACCTTGCTATTTCCCACAACATCTTGACTGTAAGTATAAAAGAAAATTAATCAGGCATCTGCTTTATGCCACTCAACATTAACTAGGAAGATGGTACTGATTTGACCAAAGCAACTGAGCAATGGGAGAGAATACTTGTGCTCAGAAGAAGCTAAAAATGAGAAAATAGTCCTTAAACTGGGCTGAAGACATAGTCTGATTCAGGTATAATGGCCCTGAGTTACAGGAATGTAAAAGAGATAATATTTGATTTGAATCTCTGTGGAAATAATCACATTTCTTTATTTCATGTATGTATCCCTTCCCAAAGAATATATTGAAGGATCTCATTAAGGTAAAATACAAAATTAAAAATTATGTAACAGACAATATTAAACCATTTAGATATAAAATAAGAGCAAAAGTTTGTTTGCTAATTTATTTATTGTACTGTATTGAATTGAATTGATTTATATAGCCACCCTTTCCAGTGCTCATTTACACAATGGGGATGATCCAAGTGGTTTTAATTTACTTGCGTAAACCGCTATCATAATGTAAAAGCATCTATGGTTAGTTAAGATCTTATCTCTTTCCCATAATAATGAGTAAGGACTCTCAGTTTGGAATGTCTGACAATCTGGCTCAAAGTTTTGATACGTGCCATTAACCAACTCTACCTATCTACCTACCTACTTACCTATTTGAATGTGTTGCCTTATCACATCTAAAATCAGTGATACATAGTAGATTAAAATGAAATATAAAATAACCTATAAAAATTAAATGAAGATGTCCAATGTCCTGTTTTCATAGTGGCCAGCCAAATGACTATGGGAACTGGCATTCTCAATTAATGCAGTATGAGTAAAATTGAAAACAAGACTCAGAGTGTACTTAGAAGTATCCTGTCCTTTTAAGGCTAATATGATATGATGGTTAAAATGTTGGCCTTGAATTTGGTAAGGGGCAGGTTTGAGTTCACTACAGAGCATACTTGATGACTTTGAGCCCATTACTATTTCTCTTGGCCCATCCTATCTCATGGGATTCTTCTAGTGGAGACATTGTCAGTGGAGACCCATATGCACATCATTTCAAACTCCCCCTAAAAAGTCAAGATATAAATCCAATAATTAGATTGCAATAGAATAATTCTCTTCTAAAGTATAGCTGTTTTAATGTGGGTCTAATGGCAGATTTTAAAGTTGTAGTTTAAAGTCTTCCTACTTGTAAGCAAGACCAGCAATATAATTTGGGTTGATAATTGGAGAAGGGGAAAGGACAATATAATGGCATATCCCTGCAGTTGTGAACGACATAAATAATATTTCTTTTTCCTCTACTTTTGCAGTTCCATACTTTAGAACTGCTCCCACATTCCAGACATGAGAGCAAACAAAGAAATATTTGGGGGGAAAACATGCAATATCTAGGGTGGGGTGAGGAATTCTTTGACCACTTCATATCTGAAACAGATTAAATCGTCCCACTTTCAGTGATTTTGAGAAAAACAAATCTTGGCTACCAAACAGCAAAAAATGCTAATAAAAGCTCACATTTGCTTTATATGGATGATCTGAAGCTTTATGAAAAATCAGAAATCGAAACCCAGTCACTGACAAATATTGTAAGAATTTGTAGCACAGATATAGCAATGGAATGTGGCCTAGAGAAATGTGCTACAATAACAATAAATCAGGATAAGATCATGAACAGTAATGGAATTGAAATGCTGAATGGCTATAACATCAGGAGTTATCAGGATGAAGCCTACAAGTATCTGGGCATTTTACAGTTGAATAACATCAAGCATGGACAAGTTAAAAATGTGATCAGTAAAGAATACATCCAAAGAATGAAAAGACATTTAAAGACAAAATTGAATGGGGAAAACACCATCAAAGCCATCAGTACCTGGGCCATGCCTGTTATACAATGCTCTACTGGAATTATTAACTGGATACAAACTGAACTGGACAGTTTGGACCAAAAAACAAGAAAACTCTTGACTATTCACTATGCATTACATCCACGTAGTGATATTGATAGATTATACCTGCCCCACAGAAATGGAGACAGAGGTTTACTTCAAGTCAAACAAACTGTTGCAGAAACAAAGCATGCATTGGCTGATTGTGTAAAGGACAGTCAAGAACAAGCATGGATGCAAGTTAAAAACTGCAACTTATTGAATGTACAGGAAACAAAACATGAATATCAGCATAATGTAATAAAAACACGAATAGAATGGTGGCAAGAAAAAGCATTACATGATCAATTTCTACTAAAGATTGAGGGGAAAGTGAATAAAGATAAAACCTGGCAATGGCTTACCACATTAAAAAAAGAAATGGAAGGCTTCATTTTGGCTGCTCAAGAGCAAGCTATTCGAACTAATGCAATCAAGGCCAGAACTGAAAAATCATCAAATGATTCAAATGCAGATTGTGCAAAGAAACAAAAGAAACAGTAGATCATGTACTCAGCTCATGCAAGAAGTCTGCACAAACCGACTATAAACAATGCCATAACACAGCCGCCAAAATGATTCACTGGAACATCGGTAAAAATTATCATGTGCCAGTAATGAAAAATTGGTGGGAACATATAGTTGAAAAAGTAGTAAAAAATGATGTTAAAATATCTGGGATTTCCGAATACAAATTGATAAAAGTTTTCAAGCATAACACACCAGATTTAACTGTGGTTGAAAAGAAGAAAATGTGGATAATTGTTGCGGCAATACCAGGGGATAGTAGAATAGAAGACAAAATTGGAGATCACAATGTGTCAAGTTTTAAAACCGAAGTTGAAAGATTATGGCATAAGCCAGCAGTGATGGTCCCAGTGGTTATTGGCACAGTGGGTGCCATACCAAAAAAACCTTGGACGACACTTAGAAAATCTGCACATTGACAAAATTTCCACCTATCAATTACAAAAGGCCACACTGCTTGGATCTGCATATATACTACGCCAATACGTTACGACATCCTAGATTCTTGGGAAGAATTTGATGCGAATGAAGGCCAACAACAGCTAAAGAACTGGCAGCTGTGATTTTACATTGTGGTGTATACAATAATAATAATAATTTATGTGCCACCTGACTCCCAATGACTCTGGTCAGTTTACAAATTGTTAAAAACATTTAAAACAAGAGAACAACATAAAACAAAAAAGAACAACGATGGGAGAGATAACAAACCCAGATGGGGCTGAGAAAAAGAAGAAAAGGGGGCTTCAATTATGCTCCCCAAAGGCCTGGGCAAAGAGCCATGTCTTCAGGGTCCTTAGAAACACCTGTAGGTTGGGGGCTGTTGGAATCTCAGAGGGAGCATCATTCCAGAGGGCAGTCACTGCTACAGAGAAGGTGTGCTTCCAGGGTCCTGATAGATGGCATTTTTTAATTGGAGGAACCCAGAACATGCCGACCCTGCAAGATTGAATTGTCTGGGCAGATATTATGGGACACAGGTAGTCCCTCAAGTAATCAGGGTCTATGCCATGAAGGGCTTTATAGGTAACAGCTGATTCTTTGAATCACACTTGGAAGCAAAATGGCAACCAGTGCAGCTCATGAAGTAGAGGTGTTACATGGGCACACTGAGGCATGACCATCACTGCCTGTGCCACTGCATTCTGAACCAGTTGAAGCTTCCAGGTGTTCTTTAATGGCAGCCCCATGTAGACTGCATTGCAGTAGTCAAGCCATGAGGTGCCAGGGCATGAGTAATTAGCAGACTTCTTGTGGAGTTGTTCCTATAGTCTTCGTAATGGACATATTTACTTGGGCATAACTACCAGATATCAAGCCCTAGCTGTGTCTCTGTTATTCATGAAATTTTCAGGGTAAACATTTGTCACACTTCCTCTTGGAGGAAATTGTAAAGTTATTGTGGCTGCTATCCTACACTTCTTTGTGGAAACACAGATTGAAATATCTTAATAGATATTTGATCAAGCATATGGGAAGCATCTTGGACAGCTTAAGAATTAATTCAGAGGTCATGGTCTCTGCTTGCTCCATCTTATGGTTCCATACTTCTTACAATGTTCTTCTCCTACTTTATCTGGTCAAATCGAGCTTTCCCTTCTTTACTGTTAATTAATGATCCTATAGCTTCTTCTGTTACTTTAGCCACCATAAGCACATTTTGCTTCCAACCCCAGCTATAGAATAAGGTAGAATGAAAGATGGCCTTAGCTCACTATTGGGTTGTATAAACACTTAACTTTTAATAACAAAAACGCAAAAGAGGTTCAAACTCTCAGAAGATCTAATCTTCCTGCCATCATATATCAGATCAAATCCGAAGATCTTGAAATGATTGTGAAAGATTATAAAACTTTAGAAAATGACCATGATTCATGAATGCTGTAGATATTGAATGTTGAATGAAATCAATGGGTTTTAGTGCATGAATCAAAATGCACAATACTAGATTATGTAGTACCCCCAAAATGTTGGATCTAGCACATTACAGTTCCTTTAACATGAAACAGATGAAGCACCATTCCTCTTTTCTTCAATAATCCCATTGAATTTACCCTATTAAAACTTTAGTACTTTTTTCAACAGTAAAAAGAAAGATCTATTCACAAAATGTTCTGTAAAAAGTCAGCATACATTTGTTATTATAATGAAATCTGCAGTAATGCAAAATCCATCAGTGTCACCAATTTTATGCTAATAAAAAATTCTGCATAAATCAGGTAATTTAATATAATATTGGAACAAAAGTCCAATTGTCAGAGACACCGGCTGGAGTCTTCTGTATTCCTGACACACTTAGCCATTACAGATGTCAGCCAGAATAAAAAAAATATCCAGGTTTTTGCCTGAGTAAAACATCCATGTTCAAACTAGTCCTTGTTGGCATTTTTGTCATGTTTTAGAAACTTGCTTTAGGTATCTCAAATATGAGACAAAACATAATAATTGTTTCCTCCTCTACAACTTCGTAAAAAACCAGGGACTTGAGTTATTGTTTTCTCCTTCACAAAATAAGATAAAACATCATGCTGAACGATCTCTTTTTTCCAGTAGGACCTTCTTGAGACCAGAAAGGGTCTCATGGCCGACAGCACACCATTGGGACTCTTGTCTGAGAGATCACCTTCTCAGGATTGCTTAGTTCTGATGGAAGAACAAGTCTGGTGAAGCCTTCATTCCTATTACCTGCACATCAAAATTTAACATAATTTCAAATATGATGCAGCATTGGACATATTCCAGAAAATATGTCCGGAATTCAGCATTCAGGAAAATAGGGGTATATCAGCAACTCATTGTTACAAAGTGATGGTTTCAAGGGAACATTAAGCATGTGTCAGTAGTAATAGCAGCCACTGCAAAATCCATCTCTTGATTATGTTATCCATGAACATTGGGACTTTCTTCCCCATACTTCCTCATCTCACTACAATCGATTGCCATCTTTCCCCTCCTGGCTACGACTATAACTAAGCATCCCAAGAGCGTCATTGTTTTGTTGGTTAATACTAATCAGACTTCTGTTTTTTCATTCGTTTTTGCTTATCAGTTTTAAACACAGGTAAACAGAACCACCAGCCAGTTTGGTGTAGTGGTCAAGGCTAGACACCAGGATACCATGAGTTCTAGTCCTGCCTTAGACATGAAGCCAGCTAGGTAACTTTGAGCCAGTCATTCCCTCTCAGCCCTAGGAAGAAGGCAATGGCAAGCCACTTCAGAAAATCTTGCCAAGAAAACTGCAGGGACTTCTCCAGGAAGTTGCCAGGAGTCAACGCAGACTTGAAGGAACATAACAAACAAACCAAAGCAACAACCAGAATCATAGGTTAGCAGTCTCTGCAGTTGACAACTGCCTGAATAAACTGCTTAACTGGAGTTAAGATCGTTGAGGAAAAAAAGCCTAGAGAACAAAGATGAAAGAGGATCAGAAGCAGCTTTGTGGTCTCTGCAATTTGCAAAATGGATATTAAAGGTCCTTGCAGTTTTGTTGGGTGTGTGTGAAGGAAGCATTATAGTTAACTTTTTGTGTGTATCTATGCTTCGTTTTTCTGAACTTTTTCTTTTAAGATTGAATGGAAGCCACTATCAGCATGGAATGAAAGCATCAAAAAACTACTTACGTAAGCACTGTGGGACTTCACCACTCCATGTTCCATTCCCAACACAGGTCAAAACAGCAGGAAAGGACAATTCATAGCCAGGGGAACAGACATAACTAATACTAAATCCCCAATCGAAATTTATTCCTTCCTGTCTTCCATTAGAAATCTGGGGTGGAGTTGGACAGGTAACAGCTGTAACAACATTTAGAGTAATTAGCGTAGCAGCTGCAGCAAATATCCCCGGTGTCTATACTGACTAGGAGAACCATATGTGCTAATTCAATTCTTTTTGGGACAAAGTTTTTTTTTTTTTTGCATCAGTCTCAGACCATATTTCCTTGCTAAAATATAAAAAGCTTATTTTGTTTTCACAGCCTTTGGCCTTTTTGATTGGGAATTATGGGAGTTGTAGTCACACACATCTGGAAAAAGAAAGTTGGGATAGACTGTTCTATTACTTTCAGTATCGAATATAGTATCCTGGTAGCATATTATGATATAGTGAAATAAACACATACCGATTTATACAGCCCACACATTTGAGATGTATTTGCATTCACTGGTTCTTTATTTCTTTATTTTGAGAAAGATTACCCAGTAGCTAAAAACAAATCATTTTGGATCATTTGGATACTAAGACAGGTTAAGTTATGAAAAGTTCATAGAAGCAGATTTCCTATTTCATAATCTCATCTGGAATGGCATACCCTCCCGTGTCATTCTGCAGAACACTTTCTGAATTATGAAGGACATAGTATAACTAAGGATGAAGGAACTGTTCTAAACCTGGTTTCTACCAGTGCTATACCTATTCACTTGCCATTCTGTTCCATCTAGTGAATGATTGCATCAGGGAATCATTTTCAAGCAAAAGCAAATCCACATACAATGTTATTATATTTAAGTATTCTAATAAACACATATCTCTCTGTAATGGTATGTGGGAATGACCTTGGGAGACAGAGGGAAGAGCCACAGCCAGGGGAACAGTTGGATAAGAGGAATCTTAGCCCACAGCAGGAATGTGGGTGTGGCAAACATCTCAGAAGAGACCCTCATTAGTTTCTTGGTCTGTAAAGGCGAAGGGGGAGAAATGTACTTCCAGACTTGCAAGATTCTTTTAATGTAGCCTTACAATAAAGTGGAATTAGTTCATCTGGACATGTTTCCTGTCTGGACTACCTTGCAAGGTCAAAATCAATCTTGCAAGTCTCAAAGTACATTTCTCCCCCATCACCTTTACAGCCCAAGAAACTAGGGAGGGTCCCTTCTGAGATGTTTGCCACACCCACATTCCTGCTGTGGGCTAAGATTCCGCTTATCCAACTGTTCTCCTGGCTGTGGTTCTTCTCCTCTCTCCCAAGGTCATTCTCCAGTACCATTACTTACTCACTCACTCACTCACTCACTCACTCACTCACTCTCTTTCTCTCTCTCTC